CACACAGAATGGGCCATGGGGTGTCTCCAGGCCCCTCCCTTCTCATCACCATAGCAACCAGCACCCTGTAGTGAGCAAGAGGTAATAGGGACAGAAGGCAGGGAACATTTGAAAGGCAGCCTTTCACCTTGGGGGTGCTGGTGCTGGGGGAAGGTGCGGGGCCCGCCTGCTGCTCCTCCCCACTTGGGCTGGGCTGGCATCTCAGAACATCTGCCCGGGAGGACACCAGCTCACAGAGGGCCCACGAACGTGGGGTGTGGTTTGTAAATATTGAACTCTTTTCCAACACCTGAAAATCAGGGTAGCACAGAAAAGCCTGGATTTCTGGTTTCTTTTGAAAAACCAAAGACCTAGTGATGCTTGTGCCTTCATTCTCCTGGGTCAGAAACCGCTGAAGCAGCCGTGCAGCTGCCCCTGGGGACTGAGCACAGGCTCGCCGCCGGCCCCTCTCTGCTCCCTGCGTTCTCACAGGTATTTGAGTTTCCTCTGAAGGTGGCGACTCTGTGGCCATGAAGCAGGAGGCGGAGGGCCGGGCGCTGCCCCCAGAGGCAGTGAGTGCCCTGTGCTGAAGGCAGGTAAACAGAAGGTCGATGGCCCCTTGTGAAGGCCCAGGGGACCTCCATGGCAGTGGGAGTGGACTCAGGGTCTTTGGGGATCCTTCCAGCCCTGAGGATGGACGCTCCTGAGACCTTTTGTTGACACAGCCCGCTAGTACCCTGGGTTGTTTGTGCCGATGTCCCCCCCTCGTCCATCTGTTTTCTTTTCCTCTGTATTGTCACAAACGTGCAGACAGGAGCACAGCCTCACTCGTTCTCACAGAGTGAACACGTGCGTGGATTACTCAGTCAAGAAACAAAGCACGGCCCTGCTGGTGTGGCTCGGCTGGTTGCAGCGTTGTCCTGTGGACACTGAAGGTCTTGGGGTCAGTTCCTGGGCAGTTCCAGGGCACATACCCAGGTTGCAGGTTCGATCCCCAGCCAGGGCACGTACAAGAAGGCAGCCAGTGGATGTTTCTCTCTTACATCAGTGTTTCTCTCTCTCTCTCTCTTTCAAAAGCAAAGAAAAGATGTCTTCAGGTGAGGATTATTAAAAAAGCATAATCAACCCCCCCCTGGAGGTTCCCCCCCACACCACGCCTCTGAGGAGAGGACACTCCTGGCGTCTGACCCCCAAGAGCAGGTCGTCACCTCCTACACTTTATGTAAATGGACCAGCATTGCCCTTTCTTCGCTCAGCCGTGCCCACGAGGCCGGTCTGTGTGGTCACAGCAGTGTCATTGCACTCGGGCCTCAGAGTTACTCGGTGCTTAGAGGTGAGCCCTGGCCACCTGCCCCGTCTACACTGTTTGAGGCCGCTTCCGCCCAGCCGCGGCCTGTTTGCCTCCCTGCGGCCTTGCTGTGATGCGGAGGTTCTGCCTGCACCTGACAGATGAGGAGACCGAGGCTCTGAGAGGACCCCAGCTTGCCAAGTCTCCCAGACGGTCGAGGCGGGGCCCGCACACTTGGGCCCAGAACTATGCCCTGTGTCTCAGATGCCCTGGGGCCCCTGCCGACAGGAGTGGCCCCACACATCTGTGCAGCCTGCCTGCCAGGAACTGGGGCGAGACAGCAAGCACTCGAGGGACAGAGTCTCCCCCTGATCCTGCCCCACAAGCCTGTGTGCAGACGGAGAATGAACAGGAAGCTCTTGTCAGTGCTGACCTGTGACTGGCTCTGGGTTTGCCTGGGGCAGAGTCCCGGGTACTGTTGAGACAAGGTCACTGGAGAGGACTGGCAGACAGCACGGAGGCCAAGTTCTAGCTCAGTCACTTCCTGCCTCATCACCCTGGGCTGTTGCTGGACCCCTCTGGGCCTTGGTCTCCCGTTCTGTGCAGGAGGAAGGTTTGGCCACATTTTTCACAGAGGGGCTTGCTGGGGGAGCAGAGAGGTGTGTAACAGCACCGAGGTTATGGCAGAGGGTCTAGGTTCAAATCCCAGCCCTATCACTTTTTTTAAAAAGATTTATTTATTTTTAGGGAGAGAGAAGGAGATGGAGAGAAGCATCGATGTGAGAGAGATACATCGATTGGTTGCCTCTTACACGACCCCAGCTGGAAGCCTGGCCAGCAACCCAGGCATGGCCCCTGACTGGGAATCAAACTTGCCACCTTTCGGTTCGTAGGCTGGCTCTCAGTCCACTGAGCTATACCAGCCAGGGCTAGCCCACCCATTTATTGGCTGTGCATCCTTAGGCAGGTTTCTGAACCTTCCTGGGCCCCAGTTTTCTTGTGTCTGCAATGGGAATGGTAGTCCTGCTGCGCCTACCATGCTCCCCTGGTTGGGGAGGGCGGAGCCCACGGGCAGAAGAGCTGTGAGAGAGCCAACCCACGGTGGCCGTTGGCTCGAGGGACTGGGGCCGCTCAGAGGCAACTGTGGTGATTTCTGAGGCCCGTAACAGCTGTCACCGCTCCTGACACAGCCAGACCTAATCAGGGCCCCGAGTCCTGCCGTCACGTGCCTGCTCTTCGGGGAGGTGCGTGATAATCACATCACGGAAAGGCCCCAGCTGCCAGCTCCCCGGAGGTCGGCCCTCCCCCCGGGCGGCCCATCAGCGCCTATATTAGGGTATTAAGGAGACTCCAAGCCAGAATTGGCCAGTGTTTACCCAGCAGTGAGGGGTGGAGAATGCCAGCTGACCGGGCCCCTGCACATGGCCCGGGAAGTCTCTTCACTCACTCTCCCGTCCAGCAGCACGTCGTCTGTGGGCCCCCTGCCCTGTGCTGGGCACGGTCCTGGGCTGTGGGGCTGCGTCCCACGTGGACATGAACAGGGAGTGTGCGCAACGTGCTGCAGGGAGTCAAGTGCTGAGCAGGAAGTAGAGCAGGAGAAGGGTTTGGAGGGAGGGGTCAGCCGCCTGTCCTGAGCAGGTGGTGTCTGGACTCGGGTCCCTCAGCTTCCGCTTCCAGTGCTTTCTGCAGATGGCCATGGCTTCCAGATCTCTCTAGAAAGCAACTGCCTGGATGCTTTCCCGGGGGCCCCATTGGCTGCTTGGACTCAGTGTGTCCACAGCCAACACTAGCTCACACATTGCCCCAAAGTGGCCATTGGCACAAGATGCCAGCCTGTCCCTGAGATGGCGCCTTCCTCCAGGGGCTCTGACTGGCCATTCCCATGAAGGAGGTCCTGTTCTCCAGACCCTTCCTGTCCCTCTCAGGAGAGTCGTATCTCACTGTACACAACCCCCCCTGGATTTCAGCCATAGCTGGTGGCCCTCAAATTTGTCTCCAGCCCAAGCCTTCCTCCTGAGACCAGGCCACGGGGACGTCTGTCCTCCTGGATGGCTCGCAGGGCCCACCGCCCACGTGAAGTCACTGTGTCTGCAGCGGGGCAGAGTGTGTGGTCCCCCCAGCAAGCCTGCTCCCCTTCCCAGCACCACTGTCTGCCCGAGGCCACCTCCCCACTCTGAGCTGCCCCCCACCAGCCATCAGAAGCTCTGCCATGCCCACTTCCCAAGCAAGGCTGGAGTCAGCCCCTCGTCTGCAGCTCCAGCAGCACCCTGTCCTCTCACAGCCACCCCATCTTGCCCTGCGGTCATCTGCTCACACCGGTTGAGTGGGATTTCTGGAAAGCAGTGCCTGTCCTGCTGACCTGCCTCCAGTGGCCCCCACTGTCCTGGGGATGGAGTCATAACTGCTTACCACCCCTGGCAGACAGTGTCACCTTCTGGCCCTGCCAACCTCTCTGCTCTCGTCCTGCCCTCTCTTACCCATCGCCGCAGCCAAGGGCCCACCCTGTGTGGCGGGGACTGGGCTGTGCCCTCCCTCCTACCTGGCTATTCACCCACTCTTCGCTTGCCCCTCCCCTCCATTCCTTTCTCTCTCCAGATCCTTCAGGATCTGTAAAATGGGTTTAAGAATTGTACTCACCTCAAGGGGGCGCTGTAAAGGACCTGGAACCGTGCCTGGCACTCAGGAAGCTCTGTGCACGCCAACAGTGAGGCCAACGTGAGGTGCATGTGGTCACTCGGCCAGTGCCCGCTCCACCAGCACTGGGCTCGGCATTCGGGTTGTGTGGACAAGACGCGGTCTCTGCCCTCTGCGGGACGTTCTTCCTCCTCTCCACGCCCCACCCCTCCCCTCGCCCGGAGAGTCCTTGTTCACCCTCCCACCCCACCCCAGCCCTCGAGGGGCAGCGTGCGAGGGCAGCGGGCACGCTCACCGACAGCTCCCTCCTGCCTGCCTCCTACGTTTTCCGATGGTGGTGTCCCCACTGCTCCCTGGGGGCCGCCTTCTCACACTGGTTCCTCCCGTGGCCCACTCGGTCCAGGGAAATGGCCACCCCATCCTTCAGGGGCTCCAGTCTCATTAACCCTATGTCCTCTCAGCCACTCCCAAATTCCATTGTCGGCAAACCCCGTTGGCTCTGCCTTCAAAGACATTTGGAATCCAACCCATTCTTACCAGCCCTTCCCTACAACCCTGTGTGAGCCAGCACCTGTTGCCTGGGCCAGCCCTGTGGCCTCCTCCCTGGTCCCTGCTTCTGCCCTTGACCCCACAGGCCTTTTGCACGACACAGCCAGAGGGATGGTTTGAAAAGTCTCATGATGTCACTTCTGTGCTCAAACATCCCAGTAACTTCTCTTCTCACTCAAATATTTGTCAAAGGAAAGAAGGAAAAAAAGAATGAATGAATGAATGGCCTTTTTTGCATCTGTAGTACCTGGCACATAGTAGGTGATCAGAAAACACCTTCAACAAGACTACACAAGGGCATGAACAAGTGGGTGAGGACCTGGAGCACACAGTAGGTCCGTGGGCTCTATGGGCTGAAGTTACTGATTCTTGCCCCTGGTAGCAGCAGAGTCAGCTGCTGCCACCCCTCCCCTCACTCACTGGGTTGGAGGCGGGGTAGGTAGGCTGAGCCCAGGCCATTTTGGGACTCTGGCCTGGCCTGCCCCACCGTCCTGGGTTGGGCTGCTGACGTGGCTGCCGGTTCTGGGAACCCCAGCCAGGCAGCAGTTCTGGGAAAGCTGCTGCCTCAGGGAGAAGTGTGTCCCTGGCTCCCTGCCAAACTGGCCCAGTTGTCTCGGAGGCCAGAGGAGGCTCCAGGCTGGCCCAAGACTGGAGCTTCAGGGATCAGTGGCTCCCAGGGGAGGCCCCTGCAGCCCCTGCTGTGTCGCTGGCTTCCTCTCCACACGCCTCTTGTCCCGGGACTGAGTGCATCCTGTCTGTGATCCAGGCCCTTCAAGCCGGTTTCAGGTCAAGAGTCAGCCGAGGAACAAGAGGCCTGTTACATACACCCTCTGGCTCAGGAAGAGCCTCCTCCGTCACTTCCGACCGCTGCGGCCTTCTGACATTACCAGACTCGCCACTCACCTCCCCCCCAATAAAAAGAGTGAGTTAAATGTGTTTGTCTGCCCGCAGGGGTGTATTCCCACTCCAGGCGCTTCTGCTGTCTTCCTGGCTCAGGCTGTCACTAGCTCCGTGACCACTGCAAGTGCTCTAACCTCTCTGTGCCTCACCTGTAAAATGGGGTCTTTAGTGTGCCCCCCCCCATAGAGTTGTTGTGAGAACCAAGTTGATTAATACCTTGTAAGCTCTGAGAACAATGCCAGGCACTTAATTAGCACTATCTGTGCATAACAATTATTAGAGACAAAAGTTGGGTATATACCTGTGTTTAGAGGTAGATTATTGAACTTGTAATTGTTGGAGGTTCGCCAACCATTTACTAGCTGTTTGATAAGCACAGGCTGTGCGTGTGCCAGGTGCTGCGCAGGCGCTGCGGACGGAGCCCCGCCCACGGCGACGCAAAGCCCCGCCCCCACCGGGCCTCGTGCTCTAGCCCTCGCCGGCCCCAAACTCCCAAATGCAGGAACAGTGAGACCGCGCAGGTTACGCCCAGCTCCGTGCACTGGCCGCAGGATGGGAAGGGCTGCCTCGCGTGGGGGCAGCACAGGATCCTTCTTCGGAGAACCATTTATGTCCTTTGTCTTTTTTTCCGTAAAGGATGTTTGTCTTACTGATTTTTTTAAGGCCTTCACAAAAAGGCCACGATTAAGGCCATTAACCGTCCGAGGTGTAGATTGCTGGGTGCAGATGCCACCTTTTTCCAGCCTTCTGCTTGCTGTGTCTTTTTGCGACACGTTTGGTCTGGGGAAACTGAAAAGCGTTTGCAGTCAGAGCTTTCCGTCTCTGCCGTCTGCGTCCTGAAATAAACATTCACACGCGTAACATCAGTGGTGAGATTAGAGATGGTGATGAGTATGCGCCCGAGGAAAACAGGGTGCTGTGACGGAGTAGCAGGGGAACCCTCCTACTCGGGTGACGGGGTTTCTGAGGGCAAAGGCCGCGGGGGACCAAAGGGCAGGGAGTGCCAGTGTGCAGAGGCCCGAGGACCCGAGACTCTTGGAGGAGGGTGAGGGGACCAGATGGCCGTCGTGCGTGCATGGCGGTTTCCTGATTGTGACGGTTGCATTGTGGTTGCACAGGAGAGTGTTGGGGTTGATTTATTCCTTGTGACTAAATAGGTGAGAGAGAGGAGCTGAGGGGGGAGATATGAGTGGAAAGGACAGGAGGGGAAAGGTGTGGGCGTGGGAATGAGGTGGTGCGTTTGAGGAGCAGCAGGGAGTGAAGGGGTGCAGGTGGCAGGGGCGCCAGGCCCAGCTGTGGAGGGCTGGGGGGAGGGGCGGCTGGGTGGAGCCTCCCAGTGGGATGAAGTCCCTGGAGAGCGTGCAGTGGGGGCGTGGGGCCCCTGCTGTGGCCTTCAGCCCTTCCGTGCCCCAGACACTGTGCAGGTGCTCTGGGTCCACACCTGCCTTTCCTCGGCAGGACACCCGGAGCCTGATCTGGGCGTCACTCCCGTGTTGCAGACGGAGCAGCCAGAGTCCGGAACCCAGTAACTGTCGGAAGGGCTCGCAGCTACCAAGCAGCAGGAGGAGGTTGGGCATCGGCCTTTCTGAACATGACCCCAGAACCGAGACCCGGGTGGGGGCGTGGGTGGGCGCTGTCAGCGTGACCGGAAATGTGCCCCAGGACATTGCTTTGTAGAGGGCATTAGGCGTCGCATGCCAGGGAGTGTGGGGGGAAGTGCACGCCCCTGACCCGACGGGATTCCGCTCCTGAGCATTTTCCTTAGTGAGGATAAGTGGCGACCTTGCTGCAGCCGTGCCTGTGTCCAGGTCGCCGCCCGAGGCCTCCACAGCTGTCAGCTCACTTAATCCTCGCAGCCCTGCCAGTGACTCGGGAACTTAGGCATGGAGGTGTTAGGCAGCTTGCTCAAGGTTCCTACCGAGTAAAGCACAGCAGGTGTGCACGTTGAAGGCTCCGGGCAGAGAGGTGTGGCGGTGGCCCCCCCGGGTGCCCCAGAAACCCCACCGTGTACGGCCGAGTGACACGAGGGGTAAACGCGGTGAAGCCCAGTACTTTGGTTCCAAATTTTGTGGCATGAACTGATATTAACGATATAGCGGGTTTAAAATGTAAGCTGTCGTATGTAGAGGGTGCTGCTATTTTGGTAAATAAAATTCGTATTTCCCTCCCTGTACTCGTAGCAGCTTCTGAAAGGACGGATGTTCATGTGTGAGTGGGGTTATTGCTGGGCCTTGCGATTTGGCGAGTTCAGTTGTGTTTTCTTCTTGGGTGTCTGCACCTCCTCATTTTTATTCCCCGGTCATGTCTTGTGCGATGTCATGAACAAAATGAGGGAAGTACAGGGTTCCACCGATTGCATGGATACAAACTACAGGGCCTCCGGGTCGGGGCGATGACGGGAACCAGCACCCGTGCTGTATGACAAAGGGACGCAGAGCCTCAGGGCCACATACGGAGGCACTTACTCAGCCGGACAGCAGGCCAGTGTCGGGTGTGGCTGGTCTCACAGGCTCCTGCAGGCATCTGAGGTCAGCCCTGCTGATGTGTGACCCACTCACAGGGCAGGGGACAGCTGCCTGTTGTCTAAAGTGCAAGGAGACTGCCGGCTCCTGCCTGTCCCTTCCTCCACCAGGCTGGCCCGGGCACGTTCTCCAGGCAGCGTGGTGCCAGGGGCCTCACGTGCCTCACTCTGCTGACACTCTGCTGGCCAAAGCGAGTCTCGTGGCCAGCCCAGCGTCCCAGGGCAGGGAGGACGCTCTGACCGGGGCAGGGGGGCCACACTGTGAGGTCACATGGACACAGGAGTAAAGCATCGGGGCCGCTAATGCCATCGGGCTAACACAGTCGCCTCATTTTGAGTGCACCCTTCTCTGCCTGGGTGCACCCTCAGCCACCGAACCTGCTCTATGAGGCCGGGCGGTTAGGCCAGCGCCTTCCAGCTGTGTTTCAAGGAATTGCAGATCCCCCAGGGGGTTAATGAGGGTTTTGACACACCCTGAAATGAAGGTTGGGTGTGGAAATTAGTTTGGTGGTCACTGAGACAAGCGAAGAAAACGCCTTCCCTTACTGCAGGGCCCGTCAGCCTCTCCATGCAGATGTGCAGTGTGAACTTCCACCCGTTTGGGCGGTGCTCAGACTTAGCGGGCTGTGGGAGGTTTTTTTGTTTTTTTTTCAACATGTTCCAAGTGTCTCTTGGGACAGGCGTCTCGTGGCTCTCACTCTGGGCCTTGTGCGTCTGGGTTGGGTTTCGTGATTATCCACACACGTCTTGGGGACACGGAGGGCCGGGTGTTGACAGAGACTCAGTGACAGGCGGGCACAGCTGTGTCTGGAGTGAGGTGAGTTCTGGAGGCTGCACTCAGGGTGACGGGGGTCGTGGGGACCATGAGTCGGCACTAACTGGGTCGCTTTCTCTCAGCAGGTGCCTTAGGATCTCCCAATGGGGCGTCTTGGCTCTGGGCTCACGTTCCCCGTGAGCTTCCTGGTCCTGGCATGGGCGGCAGGCTCCGGTAAGTCACCGCCTCTCATCGGCCCATTCCGGCCAAGCGCTCAGTGAGCAAAACAAAGACCCCAGGCCTTGAGGAGATCACACCGTAGTGGGAGGAGACAGCCAGGGACAGGTGGCCCTAATTACAGGTGCATTCTAAAGACCCTCAGGAGGAAGAAGACAGTGCACAGCGTCTGGCAGAAGTAAGGCCGGCTGCAGTGGGCTGGGTGGGGTAATCATATGGGTGTAGTGACTCATAGTTTTAATGTGAACTTTTCACCTAAAATGTCACGTGGTGTGCTTGAGTGTGATATTGTTACGTTGCAGAATCACATGGTTAAGATTTTGTAATAAAAAGGGGCGTTGTCTGTGCTGGACCCTGTAGAACAGAGGGAAGACTGCAATTTAAAACCCGTGCTCCGGGAAGGCCCCCCTGAGTGGCAGTCAAGCAAAGGCTGGAAGGACGAGGGGGCCGTGCAGGTGTCTGGGGAGCAGGGTCTCAGGGAGGAGGAGCCAGAGCAGGCTGCCCGGTGCCAGGTGCCAGGGTGGCCGAGTCTGGAAGGACCTTGCAGGGTGTGAGCAGAGGAGCGGTGTGCCCTTTGCACTAAAAGGGACCCCTGTGTCTGTGAGCACAGGGTGGGCCAGGGGGGAGGCACCCCAGCTGCCGGGCGGCTCGGCCCAGCAGAGAGGAAATCTGAAGACAGACTGGAACAGGGTGAGAGAGAGAGGCGTCCCAGGGTTTCTGAGCCGAGCAACCAGGAAGGACACAGTCATCATTTCTGAGGTGCAGAGGGGTATGGTTTTGGGGAGCAGGGACTCATGAGGAGAGTCAGAGACATTTATTAGACATATAAGACTCTCCTTAGCACGGCTAGTCCTTTACCTGGAGAACAGAAGCAAACTGGTGGCAGCTGTGGCGGGGCTGGAGCTGGGGTGTGGCTGCATAACAGAAAGCTGCATTTGGGGTGTCCCCTGTACTGGACCCTGCACCCCAGGGCATTTCTTCAGCTTCGGAATCACCTCAGTGCCAGCTGGGAGGCTCCAGGAGCCCCGGTCCTGGCCCCGCTCTGTGAGGACGGGCGCCTGACCGGGTCTGGAGCTGTCGTTCCCTGGCTTTGTGATGGGCCCCTTGGTCCTGTTCGGGCTGGCTTGTGCCTCGTCCTGGTGGTGCAGGTCCCTCTTGCTGGTTGGGTTCCGGCTGCTCAGAGCACCCCTGTGTCTCCCCAGGGAGTGTGCAGGTCCTGCGTCGGCCCACCTGCTTCTCCGACTACATCAGCACCTCCACCTGCGAGTGGAGGGTGGACCGCCCCGCCAACTGCAGCGCTGAGCTCCGCCTCACCTACCAGCTGGATTTCCCGAATTCTAAGTAAGCCTGTGTGGGAGTGGGCGGGCAGCAAGCCTGGCGCTGGGAGTCCTCCTGGTTCTGGCAGTGCCCCGGAGGGCCTGGGGCTGACTGGGCCCCGCAAGGGCGCACTGTCCCCGAGGCGGTGGCCTGTGGCTATGGGTGGAGTGCTGGGCCGCACCAGCAGTTCTCGAACCTGTGGTCTCAAGACTCTCACTTGCCTAGAAGTTAGTGAGGGCCCCAGAGGCTTTTGTCTAGGGAGTGTATGGCAGGGCCCCCAGGCCCTGGGGCTGCAGACCGGTCCCGGCCCATGGCCTGTTAGGGACCGGGCTGCAGAGCAGGAGGTGAGCAGCCAGCGAGCAAGTGAACCGGTCTCTGGTGCCAAAAAGGTTGGGGGCCGCTGGCTCATAGCTATCGATGTTTACCTGATAAGGAATTAAAACAGAAAAGTTAAATCACACCAGCACACACGCCATCAGATCAATGACATCATAACATGCCACGTAGCCTCTGAAAACCCCACGGCACGCTTGTGGGAAAAAGAGTAGAACGGCAGATGACACTCAGTGTGACTGTGAAAGTGGTTTGGCCCCGTGGGTCCCCACGCCGCTCTTGGAGACCCGCTGGCCCAGACCACTGTTCGAGGTGCAGTGTTGGTGGTGGAGTTCACCGTGGACCGTGGGGCCTGTCATTCTCTGTGGCTCACCGGGGTGACCCGTGTACACGGGGCACCGTGTCAGGCGGTGCCCAGGACATGGTCGGGCGCACAGGGTCGGGGCCACCCCGAGCGCGGACGCACTGACAGAGGCGGTCTTCCTCAGCTGCTAAGGTGGGTGGGCGGTGCTTCTGAGCATGGTCAGAGGGCGGGACCAGAGATGGGAAGTTAGGGCCCGTGCGCCACAGAGGGTCCATCCGCTGGTTTTGTATGTAGTGTTGTTGGCACGCAGCCACGCCCATTTGCTTATGCGTTGTCTGTGGGTGCTTTTGTGATGGGTCAGCACAGCTGTGTAGTTGGGACAGAAATGCTGCGACTCCCAAAGCCCAAAACTTGTACCTTCTGGCCCTTTGCAGAAAACGTTTGCCGCCCACTGGCCCAGCCCCCGAGACAGGGGGCTGGCTGTTTGGGGAGGCACTCTAGGGTCACACTGTGGTGCACAGGGCATGCACCCCAGTTCTCTGCACACTGGGGGGGCCATGCTCCCCAGAGGTGGCTAGAACACACACAGAGGCTGTTACAAATTCTTTAACACCACGGCTTCTTCCCTTGCACTGGCTTCTAGCAACGAGCTGAGTCCTGGGACCAAGGTCATCGCCAGGGGTATATGAGAGTCCATGGTGTGTGTGGTGGGGGCTGTGGCCAGCAGGGAAGGCCATCCTGGTCCACTGTCCCTACCACTCACCCTGGCTGCTCTGCTTCCAAGTCCCCTGATCTTGCCCTTGAGGCAGGACAACCAGGAAACTGGAAGAGCATGTGGTTGCTTGAGGCATGTTCTGGGGACACCCGTGTGTGCGTGCCTGCCTCACACAGCCCCATGTCTGCAGAAACCACACGTGCATCCCTGAGAACATAGAAAGCACACTGTGCCTGTGCGATATGCTGATGGACGACATGGTCAAATCGGACACCTATCAGCTGGACCTGTGGGCTGGGAAGCAGCTGCTGTGGAGTGGCTCCTTCCAGCCCGGCGAGCACGGTGAGTGGGGCCAGGCAGGGTTCGGGTGCTCCCAAGCCGGCTGGGCCCGGGGCAGGGGAAGGCCCCTGCAGCCTCTTCTTTGATTGGGTTCTTGCTCTCCTCTGGGCCTTGGTCCTCCCATCTTTGAAATGGGGCTGGCTGGGCTCAGCGGTCCATCCGGCCCCCTTCAGCTCAGATACTTCAGCCCCGGAGTTTAAGAGCCCTGATTGGGGTGTGGAGAGCAGGCCTGTTGGACAGAAGACATGCTTGCTGCAGATCAGAAACTGAAGGGGGAACTGTCCTTCCACCCTCTGTGGGCTGCTCCAGAAGGCTGACCTTGTCCTGCCCCCCAGAGTCCCTGCAGACATTTCCCAGGAGCTCGCTGGGGTGGGGTGACAGGAGTTCAGGAGTTCAAAGCACTGTTCATCACTGTGTGACCTTGGGCGAGTCACATTACCTCTCTGGGCCTCAGTTCTCAGAAGACAGTTACTATCCTCATTTTGCAATTGAGTAAACTGTAGAACAGAGAAGGCAAGTAATCTGCCTAAGGTCACACAGCTACTAAGCAGCAGAGGAATCTGTGACAGGTGTCACAGAGCTCACAGCCTCCACCACTCCATCAGCAGTTCCTGAAGGGCCTGCTCATCCCGCTGGTGGTTGGAGGTGTCTGGATTGACCCGTGAACAGACCCACAAAGTAAAGTAATTCTTACGTATGTATGTTCATTTTGATGCACATTATATACTGGTCTGACTGCCTAAAAAGAGACTAATTTTTTTAACACACGAATCAAGATAAAGAGAAATACTTAGTAAATAACAGCACACAGATGTGGCCACAGTATGCTGGATGACAGAGGAGATGCTGGAGCTTGGGGACCTTCAGTGGGCACAGTCGCGTTCACTGGAGGAAGGTGTTCACGGCCACCGCAGCACTGAGCAGAGTCGCGGCACCATACAGACGTGCCGCACGGAGGCCGTGCTCACCGAAAGCCCCAGAGGCCGGGGCCTGCGGCCGACAGGCCCTCACCAGACGCCACTTCTCCGCAGTGAAGCCCAGGGCCCCTGTGAACCTCACCGTCGAAGCCGTCGTCCCCCGCCTGTGGCAGCTGTGCTGGGACAACCCGTACCCTTCGGAGAGTTACCTGCACCGCGAGCTCTCCTACCAGGTCATCGTTTCAGATGAAGAAGACCCAGCGTCGGTGAGTGGGTCCTGTGGGGACTCTGGTGGGTGGAGACGCAGGCCCAGGGGTGGGAGACGGAGAGGATGGCGGAGGATGGCGGAGCTGACAGCAACCAGGGACCCAGAGTCCCAGCTTCTGCCCGGGCTCTGTGCAGGGCCAGCACCTCCCTCCTGGCCCGTTGCCCAGTGCGCGGAGAAGGGACGTTATTTCTGGGCCTGCTCCCTGTCTGCGAAGGAAGGCTCTGGGCCACGTCTGAGTTTCCCAGGGGCCAGGAGGGACACTGAGGTTTCAGGAACACACTTAGATGACTGAGTCCCACAGTGAGACAGTCGCTCAGCATCACCGCCCTCCCCACCCTGACCGGTGAGGGAAGCCTCAGCTGAGCAGACAGGGCCGCTCATCCCTGGTGTGACGGTGGGAGGCTGCGGCTCAGACCCGTCCCCCAGAAAACAGGTCTGGCCGTAACTTACAGCCGTCTGGCCGGGCTTTCACTGCGTGTGCTTTCCCGTGACACCCCATGGCATGCGATGCTTGCGTTCCAGTCGCAGCAGAAGTGGCGGCCCCTTTTTAAAGGAGTGTGTTGGCGTTCTGCACACGCAGAGCCGACTTCTCTGTGAAGTGAGTGACGGCAGGCTGCACACAGGGAGGGCTCGGTCCCTCTAGGGGGTGGAGGTCACTTCCTGCCACCACCTTTCCCCCTGGACGTTCCGCTGGAGGACATCTGCACACCTCGGGCCCCTGCGGCCCACAGTGCTGGGCTCCGACGTCTGCCCAGCCGCTTGCCGGCTACGTGATCTTGAGCCTGTCCCTTAACCTCCTTTTGCCTCAGTTTCCTCATCTCTGCCCTGGGGATGACGAGGCTACCGCCCTGTAGGGCTACTGAGCACAAAGTGGGTGACAGACAAGCCCCCATGCCTGGCAGGAAGAATGTCATAAACACCCCCTCCCTTCCGCCTGCGGCCACAGGCCTTGGGAATCCCCATCGGCTTCGCCCTCCGGCGCCCTGGCTGTAATGCCCTCTTGTTGGGGGCCTGCGCTGGGCCGTGCCTTCTTACTGGGCCCTGGCCGGCCTGCCCTTGGCCACCAGGGCGCGGGCCACATATGTAGGACGCCCCCACATCAGCTTCCGTTGCTGCCGCTTCTCTTCCTGGCCAAGCCAGGGAGGCCGTGGGTGTGGATTTCCATCTCTCAGCTGTGGTTCCTTCTCGGCCCCGGGCCAGGCTGCGGGCCAGGAGCAGAGTGGGGCCTGCGCACTGTGAGGCTCAGAGAGCACTTGGGGGGAGGGGGCGGCACAGATGCCAAGGGAAGAGGCAGGTCCAGTTTTGTCCATTAGCCTCCCCCGAGTCCTGTGCCTGTTCAGGACACAGCCTGCACGGGAGAGAAGTGTCCAAACGACGGACGTGTTTGCCTCTCTTGGCTGGACCCAGCTTCCAGGACTCTACCCATTGCTCGGCCTGGCTTTGTTCTGCATTGGCTTGGTTTTCAGGCAGGCTCTTCCTTTGCGTGGCCAACATGCCCACAAGCAGCTCCAGGCCTAGGTCCCAAGGCTGCAGTGGGAAAAGTTTTTCTTTCCAGAGAGTCCTAATAGGAGTCCTGGGCTTGGGTCGTTGGGCCCAGCTGTGGGCAGGAGAGAGGGCGATGGTGCCACGCTCTGACTGGCCAGAGATGAGTCACGTGCCCATCTCTGGACCTGCAGGTGTGGTCAGCTCCACCCAAGCCAGATGGGCTGAGAATGAGGGGGGTGGTTCCCCAAAGGAGACTCCGGGGAGAGGGAACAGGGACTGGGCGGGCTGGAACGCAGCCCGGGTTAGCCCGACTCCCGCCAGAGGATGAGCTGGTCAGTGGGCCACATGCGGGCACTGTTCTGTGGATTCTGGGTGCGGAATGTGATCAGTCCCGTGACCCTCCCGACCCTGTGAGACATGTGCCACTGTCCCACTGTCCACCCCACTGTGGCAATCAGGAACCGAGGCGCAGAGGGTGTGCGGGGCATGTCCTGGGTCACCAGTGAGGATATGACAGTCAGGCGCTGCACTCAGGTGGTCCAGAGTCACTGCCCTTGACCTCTATGCTTCAGGAAAGAGAGCAGCAAATTCAAGATCCTGAGGTGGCACTGAGCTTTGGAGGAGCAGGGGACATTGAGGACCAGTGTGACAAGAGCTCAAAGCACAAGGGGAGGGGAGGAGGGGCTGAGGCGGGAGGGCTTGGGGGTGGCCAGATGGTGCAGGGTCTGGGAGGACCCTTTCCTGAGTCTGGGTCTCCAGCTCTGGGGAGTGAAGCCAGGCTGCGCTGGGCACAATGCAGGCTCACGGCTTCCCTCCCACTTCCAGACTACACGTCCTGGGAGCAGCACCTGCCGCTTGGCGTCCTCATCGCCTGCATGGTCATTCTGGTCATCTGCGTGTCCTGCTATTTCAGTATCATCAAGTGAGTGCTGGACCGGCCACTTCAGGGTGCACAGTGGGCAGGAGTCCCCCCTCTCATTTACCAGCTTGCAGTCCTTTGCTCAACAATAAATGTTTATTGAGCAGCTGCTGTGTGCGAGGCACTGAGGCAACAGCTGAGACAAAACTGACAAAGAATCTGTGCTCCTTGTGGGAGACAGATGTGAGCTTGACAAGTAGCCACACTGTTTCCATGGTGATCCATGGCTGAAGGAAATGTAACCAGGGGAAGGGCAGGAACGTTCCAGGTGCTGATGTAGGTGGGGAGGCCAGGGCAGGCCCTGACTGGGGTGCTGAGCTGAACCGGGTGGGGTTGGGGAAGGGACTTCTTTTGACAAAGGGAGGTGGATCGTGTCCAGGGTGTGATCCAGACAGACAGTGGGGGGCACGTGACAGGAGGACGAGAACTCTACACAGTTGCCCTGACAGAAGCGGAAGACCTGGGTTAGGTCCGGCCCTGGTGCTCGGCAGCTGTGCAACCGTCAGCCTTGGGCTCCTCCTTTGCAGGCCGGGATGTTGTGAGGACCTACTTTGTCAGCCCCCAGGGCCCCAAGAGAGTCTTGGATCTGGGTGGTTGCAGGGCGGGGGGAGCCTGGTTTCCAGTGAGGCTGAGCCCGAGGAAACGTGGCGGCTCAGAGCCTCAGTCCTCCTGTCTCTGAAGTGGGACTGACGAGCCCCTGCCCTCCACGCAAGGGTCGGTGGCGGCTGAGGGTTGACACAGGGCGCCCGCACTTTGCTGGGCGCACATTAAGTGTGCAGGGATTGCAAGTTTTCCTCTGCATGTCTTGTCACCGTCACCTCTTAGCCACGTTGGGCCGTCTTTCCCCTTCTCTGAGCCTCAGTTTCCCCATCTCCTGTCCTTCCCAGCCCCACGCACTGTGTCCCAGCACTCTCCAGTCTCCTTGCTGTTCTTCGAACGCACCGAGCAAGTTCCCTCCGAGCCTTTGCAGTCTCTGTGCTCCCTACCGGAGAGCCCTTTCCCAGGCACCGCCACGAACCCTCCTCATCCACCTTCAGTTGCCACTCAGAGGCCATCTCTGCAGGGAGGCCCTCCCGGGTCACACGCTCCATTCCTCTCTATTCCCTTCTTTGTTGTTATTCATGGCACTCAGTGGGGTGTCATGTGTTCATTCAGTATCTGTTTGTCTCCCTCTTCTAGAAGGTCGGTTCTGTGAGGGCAAGGCTTTTGTCTGTCTTGTTCACTGTTGTGTCCCTGAAGCCTGGCACGGTGAGTGGTACATAGTAGGTGCTCAGTAAAGGCATGTTGACTGAGTGGAGTCAGCAGAGGCTCATCCAGGGGGAATCTGAGGACCTTCCCTCTCGGAGCTGACTCTCCGTGGCTCCAGGCAACCCAGGGAGAGGAAGGAATCTGTTTCTCCTGAGTTTCCTGGGCTTCTCAGGCCGCCCCTGCCGCTCCCTGGCACCTTGCTCTCGGCTGCTCTGTGGAGGGGATTTTGATGGGAAAGCCCAGAATTCTCTGCAGCTTGAGTCTCTCCTACTTCTCTGGGGCTTGTTCCCACTGAGGATGGAGACGTCGAGTGAGGACCCGTTCTGGGCGGCAGAATGCGGGGGCACAACCGGCTCTTCTGCCTGTTGGCCGGCACTTCACCCCTCTGGGCCTCGGTCTGCTCATCTGTGAGTGGGGTTGGCAGCAGAACCTGTTCTGCGGGATTAGGGCGAGACATCCAAAACCAGTCAACACGTGTCTGACCCCTGGTAGGAACCGGCGACTGCGATCATTTTTATGGGAGGAGAGACCAACGCCTTTCTTTCTCCTTTCTCAGGATTAAGAGAGAATGGTGGGACCAAATCCCCAACCCAGCCCACAGCCCCCTCGTGACCATCGTCATCCAGGAGCCTCAGGTAGGAGCGTGGGTTGGTTCGGATGCTCTGGACTGCCTGTATCAGGAAGTGGGATTCAGGACGTGCGGGGTGTTAAAGACACCCACTGGCTTTGGGAAGGCACCTGAGCCGTCAGGGGCGTTTCAGGGGAGGTGGATGCAGCAGCTCACTCAGTGTGGTCGTTAGGAGCCCGGAGGCTTCCCTCCCCTCCGCGCAGCTTTCGTAGCTACTTTTTCAGCCTTCGGTGGGTTCCTCTCAGGTTGGTGTCTGGGTTCTTCCCCCGCCCTCCCCCCCTGGGGAAGGGGATGGCCCCTGAGGTCATCTGCGTGTCATCTCCTGGGGAGGTACTTTTACCAGGGCAGGTGGTCAAAAGGCGAGGGAGGCAAGGACGCACTTCCCGTGTCTCCCTCTTCCGGCCAGGGTCAGGTGGCAGCAAACCCCTCCTCATCTCTCATTGGCCTGAACTGCATCACGTGCTGCTTTCCAAACCATTCCCCTGTAAGGAGTGGGAATGCCTGAGACCCACCAGGTGGCCACCGGGGGGGGGGGGGGGGGGCTGGGGGCGGGGCAGGGGGCGGGGCCAGCTTCCCCAGTGGGAGGGCCTGTGTGGTTTGCTTGAACTATGTCAGGGTTCTCTAGGAAGGAGGGAGGCGGGGATACAGGTCGTGTCTAGAAGGTTCGAGGGTTCCCAGTTCTCCAGGGACCCTATGGCAGGCTCTGGAGTCCGGTGGTGCTGGCTTTGAACTCTGGCTCTGCCACTTACCTGCAGGGTGGACTTGAGCAAACGGCTTAACTTCGAGCTTCAGTTTTCTCATGTGGGTTGCCTCAACCAGTGTGGTGAGGAGGTCCCTGGGGGGCAGGGTGTGATGGGAAATTAAGAAAGACAAAGACAGTTTTAAGGAAAAGCAGGGGCCAGGTGGGGCATTGTCCTCTGATGGAGAGACAATGACCCTGAACAAGCTCTCTGTTTATAAGAGTTAGTTGGATAAAACTCAAGGACGTTTTGCAGACAGGGAAAAACTGCAGGCATAATTGCTCTGTTCCCAGGCTATCTAAATGATAAATATTTCTTCTGCAAAAGTTACAGTCTCATTCAGCTGAAGCTTGCGGTTAACTGTCTCCTCAACCCATGCGGGTCCCTGCTGTTGTCACTGCTGGCGTGATCTGCCTTGCAGATACAAGCAGTCAAGTGCGGCCTTGACAAGCACTCAACCTTAGCTTTGATGCCAGCCTTCACCGTCCTCCACAGTGGGTTATAGCAGTGTTTATGGAACAGGGCTGATGGGACTTCACCAGGACAATGCATGTAAAGTGTATATTACAGGGTCCTGCGCATAGCGTCACTATGTATCAGTCAGCTTTTGCTGTGTAACAAATTATCCCAAACCTTAGTTGAAACCATAGCCATGTCTGTACTCTTGCTTTTGCAGGTTGGCTCAGCAGCGGGTTTGGGTTGGGGGATCTGGGCCAGGCCAGGTATGTCTTCTCTGGGCTGGCTCGTCCCCAGTGGCTTCCCTCACAGGTCTGGCAGTTGTCTGACTCTTACCTGGGCCAATGGACGTGACTAAGCCATGTGTTTTCCATCCTCCGGCAGGATGGTCCAGTTGGCACAGTGTCACTTGTACCACATTCTATTGGTCAAAGCAAGTCACATGGCCAGGCTGGATTCAAGATGTGGGAGGAGCTGTAAATGACTGTGGCCATTTTTCCCATCAGCCTCAGCAACCTAATATTAGGGTCATCTCGCTAGTTCTCAGGAAACTGAGGCTCAGAGAGCTGAATGAGCTGATCTGACCTCGGACCGTGTGATGCCAAGGCTTACAGCCTTCCCACAGCATTGAGGCTCGCAGTGCTTCCTTTCCGAGCATCGCCGTACGCCAGGTGGGCTGGGGGGCTCTCTGCCGAGTTTCATTGGCTGTCTCTGTTCCAGGTGTCACTGTGGGGGAAGAAACCCGGAGGCCAGGAGCCAGCCAAGCGCCCGTATGTATATGAGCCTGGGTCACAGCCTGTGTGGATTTGGAAGGGGTGGAATCGGTGTGGTGGGCGCCACCATGAGAGGGGGGTCCCCCCCCCCCCCCCGTATCTGCCTTCTCTTCCTTGGCACTCAGCACACTCAGCACTTTTCCTTCGAGGGGCAGCGGAGGAGGAGTGGCTGGGTAGGTAGGCTGTTGACCGAGCCCCCTGCATTGCCTGGTGCGTCAGGCACGTGCTGAACCCCCCTGGGAGTGCACAGTCTGGCCCGAGCAAGGCAGGCAGAGTGGACTGCCAGTGCAGCGGTGCCAGCCGTTAAAATGCCGAGTCATTGCACACTGGTTGGCAGATACCACTATCTAGACCCTGAGTGTGCTGCCGCCACCCTGGCCTCCTTAACTCCTGCCGAGGGCCTCCTGGGCCTGCCCACAATCCAGTAGCTAGAGAGTTTGTACCTGGCACAGAGGGGGACTTCAGGACACCAGGAGCCCTAGGACCCTACAGCCATTGTAACTGGTCATTACTTATGCTGTGTGGCAATAAGTATTTTAAATGCCATCATCCCTGACACGGTGTTTTCCCTAGTTTATAGATGAGTTTGTACTAAGTACCAGGTTGTGTGCTGGTCTTCAGACACCCCAAAGTAAGACACAGGCCCTGCCTTCAGGGAGCTCCCAGGGTGGCGGTAGGACAGGCTGGTGGATTCTTGACTGTAAAGTCAGGAAGCATCTCTGCGATAGACAGACATCAGCCCAGGGTGATACTAAGCTGGGCTTTGAAGGATGAATAGGAGTTTTCTAAGTGGAGACACTGAACCCTGACCACACCTTTCTTTGCTTTTGCAGACACTGGAAGACTTGTCTTACTAAGCTCCTGCCCTGTTTACTGGAGCATGACACAGAAAGGGATGACAGTTTCTTCAAGGCTGCCAGAAAGGGGCCTTCCCAGGGGCCTGGAAGATCACCGTGGTGCCCTGGGCCGGTCAGCACGACGATCCTCTCACCGGAGAGCGTCAGCGTGGTGAAGTGTGTGGAGCTGCTAGAGGCCCCGGTGGAGAGTGAGGAGGAGGAGGAGGTGGAGCAAGATAAAGGGAGCTTCTGCCCGTCTCCTGAGAGTGGCAGCTTCCAGGACAGCAGGGAGGGCATCGCGGCCCGGCTGACAGAGAGCCTGTTCCTGGACCTTCTCGGGGCTGAGAATGGGGGCCTTTGCCCGCAGGACCTGGGGGAGTCCTGCCTCCATCCACTTTCAGAAGGCGGGAGTGCTCAGAGACCTTGGGCTGAGTTACCGAGCGAGGAGAGCGAGGAGAGCGAGAACGAGGAGCCTTTCTGCCCGGAGTCAGCCCCTCCGACGCAGAGCCCCGCCCACCTGGCTTTCCCAGAGGCACCCGCAGTCGTAGCCGACAACCCCTCTTACCGCAGCTTCAGCGACTTCCTGAGCCAGTCCTCAGGTGCAGGAGAGCTTGCCTCAGATGCACAGCTGTCCGAACGCCTGGGGGGAGAGGACCCCAACATCCTCTCTGCTCCCCAGCCCTCCGAGCTGCCCGCTGCACTCCAGCCTGAGCCAGAAACCTGGGAGCAGGTCCTCCGCCGGAGCGTCCTGCAGCACAGGGCAGCCGCAGCCCCCGCCACGGCCGCCCCCAGTGGCTATCGGGAGTTTGTGTGCGCGGTGCAGCAGGACAGCGCCCTGGGCGGTGGGTCGTTGGGCTGCGGCCCTTCCGGAGCAGCTGGGTACAAGGCCTTCTCCAGCCTGCTCAGCCGCGGTGCCACCTGCCCAGGCACACCTGGAGTTGAGGCCAGCAGTGGGGAGGGGTGCTACAGGCCCTGCCAGAGCCTCACTTCTGGCCACCCAGGGGTTCCTGCCCCCGAACCGCTGTTCACCTTTGGCCTGGACATGGAGCCGCCTCACAGCTCTCAGGACTCACTCCTCCCAAGCAGCCGCCCCAAGAGCCCCAGTCTGGAGCCAGTGGCAAAGGGGGAGGACCAGCAGAAGGCCCTGCTCTCCCTGGAGCTGACCACAGACCCCCTCGGGGGACGACCTGGGCAGTGGCATTGTCTACTCAGCCGTTACCTGCCACCTCTGCGGCCACCTGAAGTGGTGTGACAGCCAGGAGGAGCATGGCCAGGCCCATGTTGTGTCCAGCCCCTGCTGTGGCTGCCACTGTGAAGACAGGTCCGAGCCCCCAACGAGCCCTCTGAGGGGCCCAGACCCCCTGCCAGGTGGGGTTCCCCTGGAGGGCAAGTCCTCCCCGTCCTTCCCGCCTGGCCCCAGCAATGCTCAGAGCCCCGGCCGGAGCCTCCAAGTGGCGGCCGTGCCCTCTGCAGGGCCCGTGTGCACGAGTGCGTCCTAGGCGAGGGCCCCCCCCCTGGTTGCTGCGAGCCCCTCGCCTGCGCCTGTGAACGCCTTCCCGCAAGGCAGCCCGGCCGGCAGGTTGCCGAGACTCAGAGGAGCCACTTGCCACCTCATCGGTCCACAGCTTCTCCAGCGTACCCTCCCCATCATGTCCCCGCAAGGCATGTTTTGTCCACCTAGGCCCTTGTCTTGCCCAGTCCTGGGACCAGCTGCTGCCATGTCACTGGCTTAGATGCCAAGCCTAGAAAGTAACCTGGCCAGCAGGGGGGGCTTTGGGAGGCCTGGGCAACAGATGGGAGAGTGAGGCCCTGGGAAGGTGGTTATTTGCCCAGAGGTGCCCATTCATTGGACGGAGCTTCATCAGGTTGACACTGGAGCCAGGATCTGGACCGTGGGGGCTGCTCAGTCAGGGCAACAGAGGCCCATGAAAAGGAGTGATTACCACGCGGTGAGTTTGCTGCCAGAGCCCTACACAGCTGTAAGGCTGGGCTCCTGTTAAGCGTGGCATCCCCAGAATAAACACACCCAGCTCCCTTGGGGCCGGTCTGCGCCCCCACGGACACCATTGCTGGCAGCCACAGAGGCCAGAGGGAGAGCCTCGTGCCTGTGACCTGGCTGAGCTGGGCGTTCCAGACGCTGACATCGGGCACCTCCATCCTGCACGCTGGCCCAGACCTGGGGTTCAGTAATGCTTGTGTGTGTGCATCTCAAAGATGGTTGAGACCTGGGTTTGTATTTGCTGAGGAGGGCGGGGTGGGAGGGGCGGCGTTTTCTATAAATAAAGGTGCTGTGTCTCCGGTCACTGATGAAGCAAGCACACTGCCTGGCGCCATGGGGAGTGGGTCATCTCTACCGACTCATCGAACCCTTCCATCCAGGGAGCCGGGCCCAAGAGGTTAAATAACTTGCTCTCTCTGCTTGGGTGTCCCCGAGACGGGGGTTCAAGTACAATTAGTTGATTTAGGAAGTGCTCCCAGGAAACTGCCCAGGAAGTGGGGCAGTGAGGCAGGGAAGGGCAGGAGGCAGTAAAGGGTGTGTTACCTGACAGTGTTGGTGTGGCAGCCGCCGCTCCGTCCTGCCGGCAGCTTTGGAAAGCTGTGCACAGCACACACCTGTGGTGTCCCTGCAAAGGGCGGGGGGCTGGGGGCTGGGGTGTTTGTGCACTGTCTCCCATCACCATTGGATGGCTGCTTTCAGGGGTAACTGCAGCAGCTGCTGCTCCACTTTGCTGAGGTCACACAGCTGGTTGGTGGCAGCCCTGTAGCTGAGCCCAGGCAGTGTCTGTCACCCAGCCTCGGCAGCTGACCTGCTCTGGACATCTAGGTAGGTAGGTGGCATGGTAGAGTGGGCTTCAGAGGTGGGCAGGGAAGCTTAACCTCCTATGTGATCTTTCTATGTCCCCGAGTAGCTGCTTTGTTACCTTTGCAAGGTGAGGGGCTTGGCCGTTTGAGGTTCCTTCCTGCTCTGGTATTCTGCACAATGCACTAGTGGTGACGGGGAGCTCACTACCTTACATGCAGCCTGATGTTTGCTAAAAATGTCTGCACTGTGCTGAGCCCAAAGCTAACCCTTTGGCTGCCAGAGCCACCTCCCCCCCTACAGCCCCCCCCACACACATGGTTTACAGATGGGGAAACGTTGCTCTAGAGAGGAAGAGGGACTTGTTAAGATCAACAGTGAATGGCGGAGCTTGAACCAGCCATACCTGTTTACTGCCAAGCAACATGTTAGATGCTGTATATCTACTATGCCAGCACTAGCAGACAGGTCCAAGTATCATCCCAATTTTACAGTTGAGGAAGCAGGCCTTGAGGTTTAGCTTAGGGTCGCACAGCTAGGGATGCCTGGAGTCACAGTTGAATCCAGGCCCGACTGCACAGCTCCCAGCCGCACCGTCTCATGTACAGCATGGCACCTGTCAGGTGTCAGCTCTTACCCACTCTGCCTGAGCTTCGTCTCAGAAAATCCAATTTACAAGTTAAGCAGCAAACAGAAGAAGCACCTTTGTGTAGGTGGTGGAGAGGCAGTTGGGTTAGGAGTCCAACAGAATGGAGGCCAGAGCTGTTCTCTACTCAGGATTTTACACGAAAAGGAGACCCCAGTTGTCAACTCAGGCTGATAGTGCAGAATTAGCTGCTCGTGGGGAGGCTGGAATGGAGAATTAGAGACACCTCCCCCATCTCTTACCAGGATTTAAATCCAGCCTCCCAGTTTCAGGAAAGCTGGAGAAAGGCCACTGTTCTTGCTTCCCCACACCCCCATTTGCAGTTTAGCACAGGGAAGGAGGAAGCAGAGAGCAGGAGAGCCACGCACTGGATGCTGAGGAGACTGAGTGAGACAGGGTCCCTTCCCTCCTGGATGTTCTAGTTCCGTGGGGGAGAGGGACAGCGAACAGAGAAAAGGAAACATTGCAAATACTGGTGGGGCTGTGAAAGAAGAAGACACCTACTAAGAAGGGCTCCTGGTGGCTGCCTGGGCTCATAGATATTCATATATATTTATTCTATTACAATTGTCCCAACTTTCCCTTGTTGCTCTCCCCTGCCCGGCCCACCCCCACCCCCACTGTCAATCCTCACCCTGTTGTCCATGTTCATGGGTCATTTGTACATGTTCCCTGACTAGATTCTTCCCTTTCCCCTCCCTTAGCCACCCTCCTTTCACCTCCGGCTGCTGTCAGTCTGTCCCTGCTTCCATGCCTCTGGTTCTATTTTGCTTGCTTGTTTCTTTGGTTCATTAGGTTTCTCTCTCTTTTTATCATCAAACAATTGAGTATTTTTAAAATTTATAATATATTTTATTGATTATGCTATTCCAGTTGTCCCATCCCCCCTTTATTCTCCTCTGCCCTGTTCACCCTCTCCCACCCACATTCCCCCGCTTTAGTTCATGTCCATGTGTCATACATATAAGTTCTTTGGCTTCTACATTTCCCATACTATTCTCAACCTCCCTCTGTCTATTTTCTACCAACCATTTATGTTACTTATTCTCTGTACCTTTTCCCCCGCTCTCCTCCCACTCCCCTGTTGCTAACCTTTCATGTGTGATCTCCATTTCTGTGGTTCTGTTCCTGTTCTAGTTGTTTTGTTTTTGGTTTTGGTTCAGTTGTTGATAGTTGTGAGTTTGTTGTCATTTTACTGTTCATATTTTTTATCATCTTTTTTGTAAATAAGTTCCTTTAACATTTCATATAATAAGGGCTTGGTGATGATGAACTCCAGTAACTTGACCTTACCTGAGAAGCACTTTATCTGTCCTTCCATTCTAAATGAAAGCTTTGCTGGATAGAGCAATCTTGGATGTAGGTCCTTGCCTTTCATGACTTGGAATACTTCTCTCCAGCCCCTTCTTGCCTGCAAGGTTTCTTTTGAGAAGTCAAGCTGACAGTCTTATGGACAGTCCTTTGTAGGTAACTGTCTTCTTTTGCTGCTTTTAAGATTCTCTCCTTATAAAGATAATCTTGGCTAATGTAATTATGATGTGCTTTGGTGTGTTCCTCCTTGGGTCCAACTTCTTCGTGACTCTCTAAGCTTTGTGACTCTCTGAGCTGGACTTCCTGGAAGTCTATTTCCTTCACCAGATTGGGAAAGTTCTCCCTCATTATTTGTTCAAATAAGTTTTCAATTTCTTGCTCTTCCTCTGGCACCCCTATGATTCAGATGTTGGAATGTTTAAAGATGTCCTAGAGGTTCCTAAGCCTCTCCTTGTTTTTTTTGAATTCTTGTTTCTTTATTCTTTTCTGGTTGGATGTTTCTTCCTTTTGGTCCACACTGTTGATTTGAGTCCTGGTTTCCTTCCCATTACTGTTGGTTCCCTGTACATTTTCCTTTATTTCACTTAGCATAGCCTTCATTTTTTCCTCTAATTTGCAACCAAATTCAACCAATTCTGTGAGCATCCTGATTACCAGGCTTCTTAGCTGTGCATCTGATAGGTTGGCTATCTCTTCATTGCTTAGTTGTATGTTTTCTGGAGCTTTGATTTGTTCTTTCATTTGGGCCATTTTTTTTCTCTTGTCGCCTGTTATGTAGTGAGGGGTAGAACCTTAGGTGTTCATCAGGGTGGGCTAACCCACGTGACTGCTTTGTGACTCTCTGTGTTGGGAGGGAACAATGTCGCTTGCTCCACTCTTTGTGGGGTTTCAGTCACTCTTCCCACTACCCACAAGCAAAGTGGGCCCTTCTGGTGATGAGTCCCAGGTGGGTGGGCTTGTGTACATTCTAGGACTCTGTGGGTCTCACCAAGGAACTCTCCTGTGAGGCTGTGAGTTTTGCCCACTGCCTCAACCCCCACAGGTGTTTTTAGTCAGAGGTTTGAGGCTTTATTTCCCTGTGCTGGGACCCCAGGTTGCACAGTCTGTCTCGCTCCCTAGTTGTTCCTCCTGGTTTATCCACATGCAGATTGGGGACTGCCTTTCCATCAGCCATCGCCTTGCCACGGATCCTCTCTGCCCGGCTGCCTGTCTTCACCCTTCCTACTGGTCTGGATGAATGTTTCTTCTTTAACCCCTTGGTTGTCGGACTTCCACAGAGCTCAGTCTTCTGTCAGTTCTGGTTGTTTTTAAATTTGTTGTTGTCCTCCTTTTGGTTGTATGAAGAGGCACAGTGTGTCTACCTATGCCTCCATCTTGGCTGGAAGTCTTGGTTTCTCTTAGAGATGAGATCATATGTTGTTGTTGTTTTTTTTGCCACCTGGCTTATTTCACTTATAATACTCTCCAGTTTGGGCTCATATTTTTAAAAACCAGATCCTTGCATCCATTTCTACACAGGGGCCTCTCACACAAACTGCACTTCAGGGAGCCACCTGCATTGAACTGCCTGCCTGCCCAGGGTTTCTGCCCTCTGAGCCAGCCCTTGCAGAAGAGTCCCTGGAATCCTATTTCAACCAATAGGACTGAGTCTTTCCCAATCCAACTGGAAATGCATAGCTCTGACCAACCAGAGCAGCTCTATCCTGACCAATCAGGACAGTGCCTTTTGGATCAATGACATTGAGGATTCAGAGCCCTCATTAACATAAGGACAGGCCAATCAGGGACCAGGGGCAGGGACTTCTATCCTTATAAGCCAGCTCCCTCTCTGGCTCCAGGAGTGTACTTTCTTTACCTTCCATGGAGGACTGAGTCTCTGTGGCTGAGCTGAAACACTGAGGATGACTTGCTAGAGCAGAGGGGAGCAGACCAGCCCAGGCCAGAGCAGACAGAAGCACAGTGGAGCAGAGAAGTGCAGCACAAAGCAGACAGGCATGGAGCAGAGCATGGAGGAGCAGAACTATCTGGCCAGAAGGATTTGGCTAGATAGTTATCTAGCCATTGGCTCCAGGGCTGCCTGATACCTGTGTTGTTTTCACAGCCATGTTGTATCGTAATTGAGCTGTTTTCCTCGGAAGAAAGTTACCTTTTTCACCACACCCCAAATCGGTGTTGAACTGGTGGCAACCATCAGTGAACAGCACTATAACGAACGAAAACAGGGTCTGAGACGTGGGGAGCTGAAGGGAGTCTTTAAGGAGGTGACCTGAGTTGAGCCCTGGGTGACTGCAGGGAGCCAGGATGGCCGAGGGGAGGAGCGTTCTGAGCAGAGGGTGGAGCGAGCACCGAGGCCCTGAGGCACAAGGAGTTTGGCACACGCACTGCACAGAAAGACTGGCTGCAGCTGGCGAACCAGGGACAGTGGTGGAGACAGGCTTGGCCACAACGGGCACTGCGGTGAGGAATTAATATTTTGGCCTAAATGCACTTAGCCCCACCCACCGAGAAGCAGGGGCCAATAGACACCAGTCTCTCTTTGGTCTCCCCAATCCCAAAATGTGACCTGTCCCTAAGCAGGAGTCAGGGGGAAGAAGTGGAGCCACTGGAAGTCTTCCCCAGTCGGACTCTGACCTTGCACAGGTGGAGGACTCAGGTCCCCCTGATGCCAGCGCTCAGAGTGGTTAACGTCCTCACTGCTGACATTCTCACTCAGGAATGAGTTGATTGGCACCGGGGAATGGCTGCCTGCCAGGGCCTTTGTTGGAATTTTATTGACAAAAGACTTGGAAATCCCCTAAAAATCTGGTCCTTGCCCTCCCAGGCACAGGTTTCCAAACTGGGCATGAAACCCCAGGGGCCTTTGGGGCGTGAAGCCCTAGACTCCTCTGCTTTCTATGTCCCCTTTATCCTGCCTGTGTCTTTTTTTTTTTCATTTATAAAAAAGCAAGGATAATAAAATCTGTGTTGTATGGGTTGTCTTAAAGATAGTCTTCATATCATCACCTTCACCATCTCCTGGGTTTACTCCAACCTGGCTGGGGCGCTGCTGCAGGCGCCCCCTGCCTTTCCTGTCAGTCTCAGTGACGGCTGTCACTGCCGCTGGTTAAACCTGACGCGGGAGCCCTGCGGCTTCCACTTCACCTGCCACCACCCCCGCCCCCCTGTGTGTGCCTTCCCTTTCCTCAGCCAGCAATGCTCTGCATTCACCCCTTCATTCAAATATCACTCCCTGTGAGGCAATTGTTAGAACAGAAGTACATTTCTCGAATTTTTACCCGGAAGACCACCTCCTTTGTTCTTGCCTTGCTCACAAGAGATGAATTCAGGTGACAAACACGTAGAGTAGAAATGAGATGGCAGGTTTATTTATAAAATACACTTGAGCACAAAGGCTGCAAGTGGAAACCCAGCTACTCCCAGTGCCCGGCTATTGGCGATTGGGAATTTTTATGCTTCTTGCCAACTTCTAGATTCTGCCCCCACCCCTCTCCAGAGCTTAGGATGAATACAGTTTCAAAGGCTTTCTTCCCCAATGAGTGGAAAGGATACACACAGAGTTTCAATGGCTTCTCTTCTGCACTGTCACAGTTTTGCTTGTGATTTGGAAACACCTGGCGGTTTCGCCCTGCCAGGCTCGGGGCTGCCAAGTTAGTGAGTGGGACGCGTGGCCCTCCCTCTCCCTGCCTTGGTTTACTACCGATTCTGCCTAACAAAATTGTGAGCATGAGTTTAAGTTTGATTTTAGGTTTACTGGAAGGAAATCAGCAAAAAAGAGAGCACTGATTCAAAGAACAAAAATTAGGAAGCGATTTCACAGCAAGACAACGGAGCGTCTAGGGCAGTGCTGCCCAACAGAACTTGACCGTGACGGAAACGTCACACTGCCCATCACAGGGCCACTAGCCTGACTGTTGAGCGTTTGAAATGTGGAACGTGTGACTGAGGAAATGATTTTTAAATTTTGTGGAATAGCCTTTAAATTTAAATAGCCACCTGTGACTGGTGATTACAGTACTGGACAGAGCAGGGCTAGTAGCTCATTTTGGTCCACCACAACTTAATTGTCTCAGCCTCGAAGGAGAAGATCCAGAAAGACGCAGGAAGAGAGAAGACGAACATGACTGCACCAAACGTCTGCCTCAGGAGCCACGAGGCGGGGGTCTAGCGGATCAGGGGGGCCCGGACCAGGCGGGGCCCGGACCAGGCTTGCCTCCCCTCTCCACCCCGCCAGAGCTGGAAGCGGGTGATGGGTGTGGCCAGAGCGAGATGCTGGCTGCGCAGTTTCCCAGCACCCCCTCCAGGCTGGGCCGGAGGTGGAGCGGCTCAGAGGGGCCTGGACGTGGCCGGCCCCCTGGGGAAGGCTTAGCTGACCCTGGAGCCCTCCAGAGCCACTGATTCCGGTGTCCCAATGCCCCAACTCTGCACACACCCCCGCCTTGATTTTACAAAGATTTTTCCTAGGTGTTGTGTGCATCTGCTTTAGTTTTTTTTTTTAACCAAAAAACTGACTTTTTTCTGATTACTAAATCGGCACGTGCCAGCCTCCTCTGATTCAGAGAAAACCTAAAGGTATAAATAGGAAAGAGAAAACCACCGGAAATCCCACCTCTGCCCCAGCACCTGGTACACGTGGGTGTCACAGATGAATGTTTCTGAACACGTATCTATCTCTGTTAACATCCTGTTGAATAACTTTTCTGATGTTATTTTCCTACAAAAGTCATTCATTGAAAAAACCCAGCAAGAGGCTTTGAGCCCCCATGCGAGGCACGACCTCACTGGCTCCTCGCAGCAGCTGGGACTGCTGCGTGGGACTCGCCCATGATGCACCCCGGCCCCTAACCACCCCCATATCCTTACACCCCATTCACAGGCGAGAACACCGAGACTCAGAGAAGCAAGGGCTCTACCCTCATCCTGCCTCTCTTTGAACCGGCCTTTGCCAATGGAGCTGTGTGACCTTGGGCAATGTGCTTGACCACTCTCGGCCTCAGTTTCATCCCCACAGAAGACAGGTAAGAGAAGTGCCTACAGCCCACAGTGTTGGGGTGAGGAGTGCATGTCACGATGGGTGAAGGCCAGGCGGCGCCAGCTTCTCCTGTGATGATTAACTTGCCTAAGTTACCTGACAGCAGCAACACAGCGGCCGAAGCTTCCGCAAAAACCCACCTTCTCCCAGTATGTCTACGGACTAGCTGGCGGGTGCCCAGTCAGGCGGCTTCAGATCAGCGGGAGGCCAGCTCCTTGGCCCCTGCTGCCCCCTAGTGGCCCACTCTGGCCCCAGCGCCTGCCTCTGTTCCGCAGCTCCAGGTCCAGGTGCAGTCCCAAGGTGGTGCACGCAGAAAACCAGGCCTGGGAGATCCCCACCTGTGCAACCCCACCTCTCTCTCATTTCTGCATTTCTTCCCCACCAGCTCCAGCACCTGACAAGCGGGTGTAGCTGACAAACATTAGGAACTCCTCTTGCTCCAAGGATTGCGTGACATGGGGCCAGTCATGTAACCTCTCTATGCTTGCTTCCTCATCTGTAAAACTGGAATAACAGCACCCACCTTGTGGACGGACACACTGTTAGACTTAAATATGTTAACACATGTGAGGCTTACAAAGGTGCCCGTGCATAGTCAATGCCTGTCCAGGTGTTTGCTAGCATTTGTCTCATACACTGAGTCAGTCTGCAGGTGTTGTGGAGGTGAGGGTATAAAACAAAGGGAATGATGACATTCTAAACTTCATGTTACTTTTTGCAAAAAGGACAGTCTGGAGCAACAGAAACCCCAGACGAATGGTCCCGATGGCATCATCCCACCGACTCGTGTCTTTGTCCCCATGGCTTGTAGGCGTCGTCCGCATGCAGGGTCAGTGTTTGTGTGCGCCCAGAGGTTTGAAGCCCCCGTTTCTCACCAGATGACCATGTGCATCATATCTATTGTCTCTTTATGTATTTTGTGTAGGGCCTTGCCCAACTCTCCTTCTCTCCTCCCTACAGACCCAAGTTGCCAAGCTTCCAACAGGTCTTTCCAGAGGAGAGTGAGACCAGAGGGACGGCAGTGCACAGAGAGAGTGACATTAAACCACGCTTCTGACCCTTGCTCTAGGTGGTACCTGAGCGCAGCCACAGAATGACCCCTGACTCAAGCTGTAGACTGATTCTTGACCCACACTATGGACCTATTTGTGATCCTGGCTACAGACCAACCCAGGCAATGCTGACCCTTAGCCCTGGCCGAAGACTAATCACTGACCCATAGACTGATCTCTGACTTCGGCCACCCGGCTCCCTCACAGACACCTCACCCCATCTGGGAACTGGCATGTCTTAATTTTCAGCTGGAAATTCAGCTTGAGTCGGGTAACATATCTGTCCATCTGCCCTGCCTCTTTGCCACAGAACCACAGGGCAAGCTGACAGTTCTCCTTTTTAACCGAAGAGAGCAGCGTCAGGAGAAGGGCCCTTTGCCAACTTCCTTCTGCTTTGGATGTGATGTCTGGTGGTCTGACACCCACCTCGTGATCACGAGTGGACAAGCCGGACATGAAAGGCAGTGTTCTGAATACGGCGCGGTGGGGGAGGAAAAGAGCCTGCGTCCTTGATCACTTCTTTAAGTGATCAAATCAACCTCTGGATTCTTTAATAAAACAGACTTGCTTTTGTTGAAACCATGGTGGTATTGCTTTTGCACATATAAAGCAGTCTTAAAGATCATAGTAGGTAGAATAATGGACCTCCAAAGAAATTCACATCCTAATCTCTGGAAACTGTGAACATGTGGGATCCAGACTGCCAATCAAGGGGTCAAAGAACATGCATGAATGACCCATGGACGTGGACAAAGGCAAGGGGATTGACTCTGGGCAAGAGGGATAGGCTGGGTAGAAGGGGGCAAAGGGGAAAAAATTGGGACAACTGTCATAGAATAAACAATAAAAAATAAAGTAGAAGAATTATATTACTCCAGAGCTGAGCTATTAACCACTGTCCCTTAACCTTCCTCCCAAATGTCCACGCAAGTCCCGTGTCCACACGCGGACATAGCTCGTGTGCCCCCTAAAAGCAAGTCTGTTTTTAAAAAAGATTGCTAATTGGCTGACCTTAAGAGATTCTGTGGTTGGGCCGAACACAGTCAGTCACAGGGCCCCTTGTGAATGAACGAGGGTGCGGAGCGCCGATGTCCAAGAGGCTGATGTGTTGTGCTGCTGGCTTCGAAGGCGAGAGTGGGCCATGGGCCACAGACGCTGAAAAAATTAAGGAGCAGGTTCTCTCCCAGGCAGAATGCCGTCCTGGTTACACCTTGACTTTCAGCTCAGTGAGGCCAAGTTCGGACTTCTGACCCCCTGAACAGTGAGACACTACACGTTCGAGTTCCAAGCCCCCCGATCGCAGGGACCTGTCAGAGCAGCCACAGGGCACAGATCCTCTCACGCATCTCACTTTGGGTTCTTTCTTAGCCTTCTTTTCGTCAGGCCTTTTCCCTACATCCTCGTCCTCTCCCTCATGCTTGGCCCTCAGTGGGCACTTCCAGAGGATTCTCTCCAGCATCTCCCCACTCCCGACCTCCACCGGCACCTGCCCTCCCTCACTGGAGTGAGTGCAGGGAGAGGGCGGCCGGCTCTGGGGTGTGCCGCCAGTGTGGGAGCGAAGTGCAGTAGCTCTAGGACTTCGAAGCTCCAAGGTTCCCATCTTCAAATTCTTAATAATTTTATCTTTGCATTTGTGTCTTGTGAGAGAAACTCAGTTGGACAGTGGAGCAGGCAGCAAGGGTGTGCACTCCCTCCTGCCTGCTGCCTGCTTCCCTGGGATGGTTCTTGGCCACCTGTTCTTCCAGCTCCTGGCACTCTGGACACCGGCCAGCCTCGCCTTCGCACCTCCATCCAGCAGCTGTGTGGCCTCGGGCACCCGGAAAGCCAGGGCTCCGGCAGAGGGAGCGTCAATGTCACTGCTCACCCCGTGAGATCATGGGCTGGAGCACGGTGCTGGTGTGTCTGCCGAGTGGCCAACGCCACAGTTGAGCCAAGCCAGTAAATCAAAGCTGCTGCCCACTCTTGACCTGTGTACCAGGACTCACCATCTTGAATTTTTAGTTCTTTTTGAACGAGAAGGTCTGTGTTTTCGTTTTGCACAGAGCCTCTCAACTTATGAAGCCATTTCTGACAAGGTCATTTCTTCTCTACAAAATTGACCTGCCACTCCTTCTGGACCCCAAAACACCATCACCGCCCCCTCCCCAACCCCCACGGTTTTCAGCTTCTTCCTTCTGCGCTTCTTCCCATCGCCGTGGTAATCTGTCCTAGTCCCTTCCATCTGCAGGCAACCAGGTTCCCCCCAAGGCGCTGCCCACTTCGCCCTCTCCCTCTGTCTTCTTTCCTGCCCAGACACCGTCCTGGTCCAAAGTGTCTCCCCTCCGTCTCCGCTTCCTCCCTGCACTCCCGCTCCTCAGTCCTCCGCTCTCTGTGCAGAAGCCGCCTGCGCTTCTGCCAGGAAACTGCTTTCCCGGGCACCCGCCCCAAGTGCGGGTCTGTTTCGTCCATCTTCCCACAGCACGACCCTCCCCCAGTTCTGGAGCCTCCTCGCCACGTGGTGCTTCTGCTGCCGGCTGCGTGCCCTGCTCAGGCCCACCCCCGGGGTCTTCTCCTCCACCCTCCCTGAAGGTCGGGGGCCTAAGGCCCATCTCGGGCGCTGCACATGCACACGGACACACACACACACACACACACACACACACACACACACACACTCCGTGTGCAACCTCATCTGTTTCGTCTGATTCCACAGAGTTAACTGCAGCCTTTGTGAAATTTACTGGAGTTCCACGAGGCAGGGACTGTGTCGCCCAGCGCCCAGCGCAGTGGCCGGCACGTGGAGCGTGCTCAGAGACCGTCTGCAGAAGGAGTGAATGACCTCTTCTGGATCCACCTCCCAGCCCAGATCTCTGTCTGCACTTCAGACCCACATATCCATCCCAGCGTCCACATCTCCCACCCCGACATTTCACGCGTCCTGCCTAGCGCACACCACCCCCAACGTGACATGTGTGATAAGAGACTGTGTGTTGATTAAGCCCTTTGCTGCCTGTCAGGTCTCCCATGCCTCCCGCACGGAAAGGTGGATTCCGTGGGCACCGAGGTTTTTGCTCGGTCGGTTCACTGCCGCGTCCCAGGGCCTCGGAGCAGGGTGTGGTGCACAGGTGAACAAGGAGTGGGTGCCCCCACACCTCAGACCCAGGGCACCCCAAACTGAGCCCTCCGTGTCCCCACCCTCCGCCCCTGGGTCCTGCTCTCAATTGCTAAAGCTATGGCAACTCTGTCTGGGTAAGTCCGGCTCCTCATTTTTATCACCAACAACTGTGCGAACAGCACCTTTCTTCCCCAGCAGTCACTCTCCCGCCAAGACTGGAGCTGCTTCTCCGACCCCGCCCTTTCCCTGCTCACGCAGCTCCCAGGCTCCCCCCAGCCAGAATTGCTGGGCACACACCCCGGGGTGACCCCGTGACAGACACAGCCAGCCCCTGGGGTCCCTCGATGACCTCAGGTGGCACACGGGTGTGCTGTGTAAGGACATGAGTGTGAAAGAGCATCAAACCAAGAAAATGATTCCTTTTTCAATTCTTTCTCCCCTTCTGACTCGCCTTCCTCAGGCTATACCGCACTGAGCGAGAGTTTAATAACTCAGTTTTGGTTTCGTTGTTTTTGTTTTACAGTTCCCTTCTGTGTGTGTGATAAAGAATACTGGTTGTCAACTTGTGATTGTGACGATTTTTTTAATCCTGACCCAAGGACACTGTTTTATTGTTTTGGAAGGGAGAGAGAGAAACATTGACACCTGAGAGAAGCATGAACTGGTTGCCTCCCGTACACGCCCAGGCCGGAGACCAAACCCACAATCTAGTTTTGTGTCCTGACCAGGAATTGAACCTGCAACCCTTTGGTTATGGGATGATACTCCAACCAACTGAGCCACAGGGTGACAATGTTTCTTTTAAAAATAAAGTTATTTAAATAAAACAAGTAAATCGATGTAAGGAGAAAGCGTAAGGAAATAATGATGGAGAAAAATGTAGATATGGAAGAAATCGCCTGTGGAAGTGCTCGCTGGGGCCAAAGGTCTGGAGGACGCCGGTCTGCAGGCCAGGTCCCGGCCCTGTGCTCCCTGGCTCCTCCCTTCAGCCTGTACCACTGCCCGGACACCGCGACCTGGCAGCCTCTAGTGACTGTGACTGTCGCCCCTAGAATCCACGACCTGACCACCTCTAGACACCACGACCTGTTACCCCCTAGACACAGTATCTCGGCCCCCCCACCAGGCACTGTGACCTGTTGTTAGTGAACCAAAGTCCGTGTGCCCGATTCTTCAGAAGGCCAAACTCAAAATGTCAGTTTGGAGGAAGGGAAGGTTTACTGACAGAGAAGGTGCCGACCGAGAAGATGAGGCCCTAAGTCCCAAATCCATCTTGCTCGCTGGACTTGGTTAAGGGTGTTAAGGGGCTCAGGGCGACAGGGGTGTGGAAGTGCTGGCCAGGCAAGTTTTAACTGGGGGAACTTGGAACTTGGCCGTTTATGGTAAAGGGGCATCAACACTGGCTATTCCTGGAAAAGGAGCCCTTGGCTTCTGAAAGCATTCTGTGTTCAAGTTCTGGTCATGTCCTGGTCTTTCGGCACCAGCCTGGGGGTCGAGACCCTGGTTCTGGGTGCTGCGGGAGGTGCAGGTTCTCCCTTCTGCGCCTACTTCGACCGCAGGACTTGTGCTTTTGGTCCATATCTTTGAAAGGCACAGATCTCGTCACACAGGACAGGATCATTCTGAGTTGCTCCTGCGGTCACACTATCACACCTAGAATCCCTGACCTGGTGTGATACTGTTACTTATGATAAGAAAAATATGTTTGGTATTTGCCCCAGTTCCTGACACAGAGCTCCTAAAACTCTTGGAATTTCCTAAGTGATGAGAACCTTCAGTATCTGTTGTGTGTTAATGAGGTGACCTTTGGGAAGCCCCTAAATCACCTAAGGAGGAGGGCCAGTTGCCAGGGAAACCGACCATGTGATTAGAGGGAAACTGTCAGTCCAGCCGCTCAGAGGAGGGGAGAGAGGCTAAAGATCCGTCACTGGTGGCCAGAGAGTTGATCCGCCACAGCTATGTGCCGAAGTTTCCATAAAAGCCGGGGGACAGGGTTTGGAGGACTTCTGGGCTGGTGGCATGTGGTGGAGCTGGGAGATGGGCCACCCAGAGAGGGCGTGGGAGCCGGAGTCTCTTTCTGCAGGAGCGTGTCTCCCATCGGGCCTGCCCTGAGCCAGATCCGTTTCTAATAAACCTAGTAAGGAAATGTATTTGAGTTGGTAAGTGGCTCTAAACCTAACTTAACCTCAGGAGGGGTCCACTGCTGGTTGGGAAGGAGCAGAGATGACAACCCAGACCTGCAATCGGCGTCTGAGGTGCAGGGAGAAGAGACTTGAAGGGCTGGGCCCTCAGTCTGTGGGGTCTGATCCTATCTGCAGGTGGATAACATCAGAACTGAGTTAATTCTTGTGGTGCACAAACATACCACGCACATAGAAGTGCACATCCACACCTCGGAATCGGTGTCAGAGTCATTCCTGGGCACCCTCAGACACCTCCGCCTGGCCATGCTCCAGGTAGCATGACCTGTCACCCTGTACACCATGACCTGGCCACTGTACCCGACCACACTACACATTTGTGAGTCCCCCAGCCTCTGGCACGCTTGCCCTCCCCACTTTTCCATCAGGCACCCCCATCCTCATGCAGAAGGACTCTGGTTATGTCTACCCAGCAGCCTGCCTTCTGATAATACTGCCTGGTCCTCCTTGGGCACAATCTCTCCCTTCTCTTAGCTCATGTTGTTGCCATGGCACTAAGCTCA